AAATAGAGATTGGGAAATTTGGAAAAGAAGAGTTTCAAGCAAGAAAGAGAGGTCAATGGTTAATTGATTATTGTCTCGGTTGCTTACACGTATATATGTATGTAATCGATGCAGGCTTCTGGTTTCGTTTGGTTCCCACGTTGTCGTTCGTCTTTTCATACAAATTCGACGAAATGGTTTTTATTACATCATTTTCGATCACTAATAATTATTTGTTGAATACCAGATCGTCTTCAAAAATCTGCCAACAAAAGATACCTGAAAATCCATCTTTACACTTCTTCCATCCTCGAACTGTAATTCTTAACATCATTTATGAATTAGTTGATACATCTAATGACTGTTCCATCCAAAATCTCCAATAAGTTATTGTAAAAAGATAAAATTACCCTTCCACTGAAAGAAGCAATAAATAAATATATTCATAATCACCTGCTTGATGGCCACTTTTTGGCCAAAATATTGTTTTGAACAGTTATTTTTAGAAGAATGAGCAGTTAAAAAGTTGGAAAAAAATTTGGATTTACGTGTAAAATATTTTTTTTATGTGAATGTATGATTGAAAATGAATATGTAGAAAAAAAAAAGTTTGAAAACAATGATGATACGTGGACAATGATAGTTGACAATGTTAGATGTTACAAAATCTACACAACTGATTTAAAAAACCATGTTTTAAATTTTTTAAATTGATAAATGTGATGATGTCAAATCATGATTGTCAACGGATATTGTCAACTATCATTGTACATATAGAATGATTGTTTTTCTATATACTCGTTTTCAACCACACAATCACATAATAAAATATTCTGCATATAAATCTAAATTTTATTTTACTTTTTAACCATACATTCTCCTAAAAATCACTGTATAAAATTCTATTTTCTCCAAAATAATGATTGTCAAGGAGGGGATAAATATATAAATATAAGTAAATAAATCTCTATCGCTCCAACATTTTAATGATATATTCGACTTGCCGCAATGAATGGCATTCAACAGAATTACAAAATAAAATCATCATGTACGAATGAATTGTCGAGAACCGTGTAACGACTACATCCCAAAACTAAAATTATCAAAATAAAATTATGTAATGTATTTTAATACAAGATTGAGGATGGCCTTTAACAAACTTAAGTAGATGGCCGCCACGAATTTGTTTGCAGTATTTATCACACGCACTTGTACAGGAAGAGATGACGGCGCCACCGACCTTCATGCATGTTGGCATGCACCCCTCGATGCATATATCTGGTTCTGCTCCGCCGATGCTCCCACATAAAATGATAGCCAATGCACATATGAAGATTGCAGTTTCTGCATTTTTCTTGGCAGCCATATTTTTCTTTTTTTTTCTTTTTAAAGTAAATTATATTCGAATATATATATCTAAATGAATGTATATAAGAGAAAAAAATGTGGGTTTTTTTACCTTTATGCGTGTGGTTAGGAGAAATACATGGAGAAATTCGAGGTAATGGATAATAAGAACCCTTACATTAAATGGCTTTATTGAAAAAAAAAAAACACAATTATTCCTAATAATAGAATTGAAAAGAAAATCCACCCTAAAATCCTTTCTCGTTGGTTGAGAAGTTATCTCTGATAGAAAATCCACCCTAAACAATTACTATTTATCTTCTAAAATAAAAAAAGAAAAAAGAGTTTCTCAATTTTTTAGAAGTAATGTTTACTTTATGATTCAAGTTTTACTTCACTTTACTATTAAAATAAGTAAGTTATTCATTTTAACTTTCTCTCATAGAAAAATTATTTTTTTTTAAATTTATAAGTAAATTTTACTTTAGATAAACTTTTAAGCAAGTAATTTGTTTTAAGGGTGATTATATGAACACATCTTTTATCAGAGCATTAGATTTTATTGCATGAAAAAACTTCAGCTTTTATTCGTTATCACATTTATGTTCCTATCTTTTTTGTATCGCATTATTATCTTTATTATTTCATGAATTAGAATATTTTATCGATATTGACGGTTTTCATTAAAAAAAATTGTTAACGTACTTTAAAAGGAGGGATATTATAATGATGTACAAAGTAGCATTTGAGTGAACGAATTTGTTGCGAAAAGTCCATAATCATTGCATAAACGTTCATTACTCTCGAGCTCTTTTAACCCAAATGAGAACAGTCTTATCCTTCAAGAGAACGTGAAAAGTCTGTGTTAAATTAGATTCTTGAAATAGGATTCAAGTTCACACATCTCTGAACGTGATAAACGATAAAAATTTGCTTGCATCTCTTTTTTCTATATGTTCCATCTTATGAGTTATGATACAAGTTTATGCCACCGTTCGATAACCATTTTTCGTAGAAAATAGAGTTTTGAATAATAATTTTTAGGACAATGCGTAGTTAAAAAGTAGAAAAAAAAATTTAAATTTATGTGTAAAATATTTTATTTTGTAAACGTATGATTGAAAATGGGTACGTAGAATAAAGAGTTTGAAATTATAAATCACAAAGATCCAACTTTGCACTGCAAATGGGATTTGGCAATAAATTTTGTACAAACAGAATTATTGTAAATTCTTATCATCAACCCATCTCCATTTTTCCAATGATTGGTAACAAAACCATGACTCCTTACGGGTTAAACAGTTGGCTATTCTATAGAGTACTGATGTGTCCTTCTGAAGATCACCAGCTGACAATACCAAACTTTGTCATTCTGTGTGCTCTCAATATATATACGCACACACCGATCACCCCTTCATTTTTAGAGGGTGTTTGGTGGGATTAAAATTTGATTTTTAGTAGATTGTGATAGAAGTTTTTGAAATATATGGTTGAAACGTTGTGGGACCTATGAAAGATGTGGTTAATATTGATTGTTTGACTTTGACTTAAATTAAAATTAGATTTTAATCCGAACCAAACAGGTCCTAAATAAAATATTAACTTTATTTTTCTTCTTAATTCTTTTTTACAAAAATATTATCTCTTTTATATCTCTTACTTCTCTATGTGAACTCAAACNAAAAAAAAAAAAAAAAATAGAAAAAAAAAAAAAAAAAAAAAAAAAAAAAAAGGAATAGTTGGTGTGAATGCATATACATAAACAGATCATCAACACTCCACATGCAAGTATGTAGAAAGTCATAAACAGACAACAATAATAACTAGAAGGTAACAAGGTAGATACAAATACCATCACTCTCTAACTTATTTAAACTTTTAAATAAGTTATTTTATGTGGTCGATAGACTAATAATTGATGCAGCAGACAAAGATAATGTGCCTTAAAGGAAAAATGTGACTTGTACCCCTTCGAAATATCTTTTGATATCCTATATATATTCATTCCAAGTATATATATACACACAAAAACACGACGTTGATACATATATACGCGCGCGCGCATCTCTCTCTTGGAGACTCCCTCCTACATGCATGAGAATGAGGAAAGAAAATTGTCTCAAAATATACCTTAAGAAGCTCAAAAGAACAGCTTCCAATGTGTTCAACCTTTTAACATGGGATTATCCTAAGAGCAGCTGCCTGCATGAAGATTATGAGTTAGCCCCAAAAGATGTTCCAGAAGGTCATTTTGTGGTATATGTAGGGGAAAATTGCAAGAGATATGTTGTCAATTTAAGCTTATTAAACCATCCTCTCTTCAAATTCTTGCTTCATCAAGCACAAGAACAATTTGGATTTGACAACAATTCCAAACTTGTCTTACCTTGTCATGAGAATGTGTTTCTTAGTATTGTGCAATGTGCTGACAGCTCTAAGAGAGATTTGCATTTGCTATTTTGATTTCATTTGACCTTGCATGGCGATGAGATTGTAATTTTGAAGATTAGATTTAAATAAATAAATAAATATAAGCTTATTTAATAACTTAATTCGTTTTCATATCGCTTAGTTCAAGCAAAAATTGATAGCATGCAATATTGTACCTTTCGGTGTTTTCACAAAGAATGTTGAGGTTTACCTACATTCATAAATAGCTGAAACAAATTCCCAGTTTCTTCTGTAAAAGCAACCCAGCTTGCATTATGGCCCTATGAAAGCAAACAATTTATTAAGCACCAAGAGAAAAAGAAAATTACCTCCTTGGAAAGTCTAGTTAAATTGGTTCATATTCCTCTAGTGTACGTTAATTTGTCTTATGAATAGGGAGTCGTTATTAGGGTTTTGTATTACCTTCAAAAAGAGAAGTTATTACCTGGCATAAAGAAGTGGCAATACTTGCCTGTGTGAAAATATTGCTTGGATCAGCACCTAAATTCTCAAAAACACATTTGTCACAACTTCACCCGCAATAAATAGTGATAGCAGCAAATTGCTCTGATCCAATGTAATTGAGATCTTAATTGACAGACAATTTCAGCCAATAGGGACAAAAAGATAATACAGAAAAACTGCAAACTGAAGGCTATATGCAAAACATTCAGTTTTCAATTACAGAAGAACTAAAACATGCACCAGTAAGACGAGGTAAATCTAACCTTATGAAACTGGAAAACACATTATGATATTATCTCAGCTTAAGAGTTGGAAGACAATTCAATGTTGAAGATGCAATTTCACCGCATTTACTAATGTCGACATTATTAAACGATCTGGTGGTATTCCCTTTGGTTCTCATATGATTCACATGAGTAATGGACTTGTCCATAGGGGCGGACCCAGATAAAATTTTGAGTGGGGGCGAGATCAGGGACGGAGCCAGCTTGTTGAAGTAGGGAGGGTCCAAAGTTGAAGGGGTGATGCTTATGGGGGTTCGGGCGAAAAATTTTTTTGGGGAGTTGTTGAATAGTTTAGATTTATCTGCATTTTCCCAACTAGCTCATGCTATATAGGCCATGAACGAAGCCTCTCACCCTACATCAAACTCACAAATATATTCACTCTGACCATGCAACATTTTTTACAATCACAGGTGGTCAAAATGAGATTTACATAACAAACCGATTTTTCAGCAATATT